AAACTCACAGCTGGAAAGATCGTAGACATATCATTAGCCACTTTCACTGATGTACGTATCAAGAATTTAGATTTCTGCATCACATTTGTTATATATGGTGACAATAATATTTTTCAGATCATAAAGGCGTCGGTGGGATACTTGAACGTGTTACGGAAAGTCACATAAATTCTGATAGTTTTTGGAAACTGCAATTAAAATAGACAATTTTGAAGTTACTACTTACTTTTGAAGTTATTTACAATCTCAGATACCTACTCGCAGTTATCTGTACTAGTTGTACCTCTCACGTGCTGGACACTTTTGTATTACATTTTCCCAGCTACTGCGATAATCATTCCATCCACTGTAGATTTCCCAATCAGTAAAATGGTTCTATAGACAATTATAAAATATCGTAACCATATTGACATGAAATTTCGTAACATTTCATTTGTCTATAAATATTTTTCTTTTAATATCTTAGCATATTATTCACAACATTTAATTAGAATTTTCGAAAGTCGTTGTAGACAAAGATTACTTCTCCAGCAACCGAAGCTGTAATAATAAAGCTTCTTGTCCACTGGGGAACCCTATGCAACGCAAGCAAAACTCATAACTAATAATTCCGAGCAATATCTCATGTTTTTGAGTCCGTGGTTAGGTATAATGTATAATAAGCGAATTTTAGAAATGGTTACAGACCCTTGAAAACTAAATCCGGTAGACAATTTTGATATTATTACCACGGTGTTTTCCTCCTTAGAAGGAGTGAACTGAACTGTGGATACGTGTACAACTTGTTCTCATTTTGCACTGAATCTCTTCATATTTACCTAATAGTAGTATCTATCGACAATAATTTTGCAAAAAACTTCGCTAGGAAGTTGTAGGATATCGTAACTGAATCGTAATATCTCGAAATATATATTTTCATTACACACATCGTGTATAATATGTCAAAAGTTTGTAAAAATAATGTAATCGTACACAAGATACAATAACATCTTTTTCAAATCATCGCTGTAAAAATTGTTTCCTCTGAGATTGAAAGGATACATCGATTGAAAGGAACATATTGAAGTTGTTATTACGATGAAACTTTCCTATGGAGGCAAACCATTTGTCATAAGTACAGCTTTCAACCACTTTCCATACCCTTTTATAAATACTGAATAGAAATTACATCTACCTTACAATCCCCTGCCGATACGAGAAATTTCACATACGCAAGCGCGATGAAGTTCTTGAGACGAATGTCACTTTCGTTCGCAACGTGGCCAGTAGCCATTCGCTGAAATTTACTCTCTCTAAAAAATGTCTCGAATAAAAAACGTCGAGGGAGAACTGAAGCATTCCCTAAGGTTATTACATCCGCTTTTAAGAATAGTCGGTGCCTGGCCGTACTTTGTCCCAACTTCTGTCTTCGCAACAATCTTGAAATGGTGTCTAATATTCATCTGTTATTTCTTACAATTACTGTTGCTGATTCCAAGCTTCGTATATATATTTGGGAAAGAAACGAATAGTAGAAAACAATTGAAACTGCTTGCACCTCATATTAATGGTTTGGCGCAACTGACCAAATACACGTTCCTGTTGTATCGAATGCACGATTTTAAGGAATTAATGGAGGCGATAAGGGACGACTGGTTAAACGCAACGGAAGAAAATCGAAAAATTTTTCGGGAAAATGCGGAAGTTGGATACAAAGCGTTATTGGGACTGGCAATTATCCTATACTGTAGCAGTTTCTGTAGTCGGATGATCATCCCGCTTTCGAAAGGAAGAATCGTCCTGCCGGATAATACTACTATAAGGCTGCTATCCACTCAAAGCCATTTTGCATTCTTTGATGCACATCGTACACCGAACTACGAGATAATATTCACTCTGCAAATTCTCGGCGCATTCGTCATCTACACGATTTTATGTGGTACCCTGGGGCTTACTTCGTTAATTTGTATACATATGTCCAGTTTATTAAGGATCTTAGCGAATATGATGATCGAGCTATCGGATCAACCCGACACGAGCGAGAATGCTGTGCACAAAATGATCAAAGATATCGTTGAATATCGAACGAAGGTTAAAAAGTGAGTCGAAATAATTTATGTTCGCTATACAAAACAATATGTAAGATATACAAAACAAATATGTAAGATATTAGAGTGCATGGTGTGTGCAAATTAATTTTAGATTTTCTGACAAGGTCGATCATATTATGTCGTATATAAGTTGTTTGGAGATTTTCAATGGTAGCTGCATTACCTGTATGGTAGGATACTGTATTATCATGGTAAATAATTCAAATAGATTAATTCCATGAAGCTCTGTCGAAAAGCAAAATAACGTAATTATTTACATAACGTGTTGTTCTATATTTAGGAATGGGAAAACAACGATACCTTTGCTGTAATAGTCTACGTCATGTTCCAAATGGTTTGCATGTTTATTGTTTTCACAATATGTTATATTGGACAACTTCTTATCAACGAAGTACGTTATCAACTAATTGTTAATAGTTTTTTATACTCGTTGGTAATAATCTTTCTCGTAGTTTTATATTTGTATATTTTCTCAAACTGATCACTTGCGCTTTCTTAATGATTCTTCACTTTGTTAGTAGAGCATATATGATCAATCGTGTAATTTCTCGGAGACTAAGTGATCGCTGGAGTTGATCAGATCAGTTTCTGTATATTTAAACTATCAGTGTGACATTTATGATATTTATAATAAACTTTACCTTTGACAGAGTGAAAATGTCAGACAGACGTCCGTTACGCTGAACTGGCATCGATTTTCATCGAAGAAAGTGCGCTGCCTAATACCGGTGATGATTATATCGAATTATCGAATAAAGATCACCGCCGCCAATATTGTAGAGATATCTTTGGCTACCTTCACCGATGTAAGTATAAAATAATTAGAATCCCATATCTCCGAGCGTTCTGCAAAATATATTTTTCAGATTATGAAAGCGTCGATAGGATATCTCAATGTGTTACGAAATTCTGTTGAATAGAAAGTTAAAAGATACAGTTGAATTTACGAAATATGTACTTTTACGTTTGCTATAGAACTCGTTAAACGTAATATATAGTGTACGATAGTCAATTATTGGTAGTAAAAATTTGTCCTTGAAATTAAAAATTATTTTTGAAGTTGGTCAATGTATTTCGAAATGAATTCTAATAATTGAAACTGTGAGTACGAATTGTTCGAAATTGTACGAAATTGAAACCTTTTCATCATTTTGTACATTAAATTTTTATAGTTGAAACTTCTGTAGAATGTTGCATAATATCATATTTGCACTATCATACATTCTCAAAGTATCTAAATATTTCCTCACAAACATTATATGTGACAAATGATAATTTCCTGTTTTAATTCCAAAATATATCTTATAAGTTCGATTGAATTTCTTTAAATTATCGCTGTCAAGGTCTGCGCTTCAACAATTGAAAAAGTGAAACTGTTGTGATTTAGAATAAATGAGTTTAGATAGGCAATGGTGGAAATAAAGGACAGTTGGTTAAATACAACTCAAGAAAATAGACATATTTTCCGTACGAACGCCAATTCTTTTGGGTATATTTTCTTGCATATTGGGTGATAATAGGAATAAAAAGTTATCTTGTATAGTGACGGTCTATGTAATCGGACGATCATTACAGTTTTGAAAGAAAGAATCGTTCTGCCAAATAGAAGACTACCGTATGACCGATATATATATAGTCCATATTATTTTATCTTCTTTAACGAACAACTTACCACAAATTACGAAATAGGCTTCACTGTGCAAATCTTCGGTTTAGTCATTTTCACGGATGTAAGTACACAGAAATTCGAATTTCGTATATTCGAATTTTGCAACATCCTGTAAAAATTTCTTCCAGGTCATGCAGGTGTCTATAGGATATTTAAACACTTCTCGAAGTATTCTTTAATACCTCAAGTTTGTCATGAAACTTGTTAAATACGGTATGCAATATACGTTAGTTCACAAAAAATGACATAAACGCCTGTTTCCGATAACAGCACGTTTTTATTTTTCTGTAACATTGTTCGACTTATTCTGTAATGGACGATTTTCAAATCGTTACAGCGTTTATTCTCTCTGTTCGGTGGAGAATTTTAATAATTGAAACGCAGCTCTGGGTAAAACTCGTTTCCCTTTATCTACGGTCACGGTAGTAATCGTTCGCAACCCATACGAACTCTGCAGACAGTAAAAAACTTTTGTTTGCAACTACTTTAATTTCCCGCAAACACACGTAATTTTGTAGAATCATTTTCGTACGTAATTCGCAACGCTAAAATCTTTTTAGAGGTGACGATAATAAAGATCGTTTTTTTAAGGATTTAATTGTAAATGGTATAGCAAATTAACAAATGGAGGGCTTCCTAAAAAGACGACCCCGTACAAGAAAATAACCAATTGCTTAAATTGTTTCTAAATTATCAGTTTTTCAATATTAGCTACGTTTGAATTGACAATTAGACTGCGAATATTTTCGTATTTACACAAAATCTAACAGTGCGATAATGCATACAACGTGAGAAAATATATCAAATATTTCAAGCAGAACTCACGTGAATGTGTAACTTCCAATAAGTGAAACAAACCTCTATTTAGATTCTATTTCTTCGCTTGTATTCGTCAAAATATAGATGTGCATAAGAATCTACAATAATTATAATATATTAAAAGTTCCACGATAATTCAACTGTTTCACTAGAAAATATACTCGACATGTATATACACTAGACATATAATTTTTCAAAAATCTCCTGAAATCTTAAAACAAAGCTCCTCCATCGCTTCAACGCAACACAGGCAGTTCCTGGAAAGTTGAACCGGGTAATTTCAACCACTTTACCCCGTGCAATACAATCGTTCAATAACTGCAATTTAATGCTGAATACGCAAACAGATTACACACATACGCAAGCGCAGCGTATCGAATCAAGCCCAATTCTTATTTGACTCTACGCTTATCTGGTCAGTCATGTCAAAGCGTTCAGCCATGAAAAATACATCTCAACTAACAAAGAGGGAAGAGGATATGAAATACGCCACGAGATACGTGAAACCAATTTTAGGAGCAATTGGTGCGTGGCCCGTTTCATTTTCTCCTTCCTTCACGTCGAAAGTTTTATTAAGAATAGAACACATTCTCACGTACTTCCTATTTTTCTTAATAATTGTACCAACCATCATGTACGTGTTTTTCAAAGAGAAAAACAACAAGATTAGACTGAAACTTATGGGACCGATTATTAACTGCACTATGCAGTTCTGCAAATATACGATACTTCTGTGGCGGGCAAGCGAAGTTCAAAAAGGTTTGGATGTGATGAAACAGGACTGGATAACAGCCACGGACGAGAATCGATTGATTTTTCGCTCGAAAGCGAAAATCGCGAGAAGGGTGGTGCTAACCGCTGCAATTACTATGTACGGAGGTGGTTTATGCTACAGGACGATCCTCCCTCTTCTTAAAGGATCTATCGTCACTCCTGACAATATTACTATAAGACCATTGCCCTGTCCGAGTTATTTCGTAATACTCGACGAACAAAAATCTCCAAATTACGAAATATTGTTTCTAGTGCAAATTTTGGCTGGATTTGTTATTTACGCAGTTATTAGTGGTTCTTGCGGTCTTTCTGCTCTTTTTGTTCTGCATGCGTGTAGCATGCTGAGGATCTTGGTGGACAAGATGAAGGCTCTGGTGGATTTGAGGGACATGTCTGACACGATGGTCCAACGGAGGATCATGGATATCGTTGAATATCAGACGAAAATAAAGAGGTTAGTGGAATATTCTTGCGAATAGAAACGATTGGATTGGAATATGATTTATTCTAACTGGGAAACGAATTGGACAAGCAATGAGTTTATTGTAATTTATGCGTTGCATGCCCTGTATTCGTGACTTGATTGCAGATTTTTAAAGAACATTGAAACAATTACAGAGTACATTTGTCTAACGGAAATGATGGGTGGTACGTGTTTAGTTTGTCTCGTGGGATATTATATTCTCATGGTAGGAGTTAGGCGAATAATACTTAAACTGCGGATGTTCATGCGAAATGGTATTTTTATGAATGCAAACGAGGCAATGGAATCTAAATAGAGTAATGTTTTGTGAGATCAGAATGAGGTTTGTTAAGATTTGGTGTCATTTCCGGTTTTCCATGTATTTACATGTATTTTCAATTGGTATACTTCATTCCGCATTTTTTATTTGCACGCTCCAATTTTTTATAACCGCGTGAACATTCACAGTCTGATAATAACATTAAAAATATTTTGTTCTTTCATCAATATAGGATATACATATTTTAGGAATGGGAGAATAATAACATTGCGGCTGTACTGATTTATGTCACGTTACAAATATCCTGTACCTTCTGTGTCTTTATACTCTGTTACATTGGTCAACTTCTTATTGATGAAGTATGACATCATTCTTTTTTTTTTTTTTGTAACCTATTCGACGTTCTAAATCTTATCGTATTTGTTCTGTTAACAGAACCAGATTGTAGGACAGGCATCATGCATGATCAATTGGTATCATCTCTCGACCAAACATATGCGTTCTTTAATACTAATTATCGCTATGTCTAATTATCCGATGAAATTGATGGCTGGTAAGATGATTGAAATGTCTCTAGCTACTTTTACCGGCGTAAGTATAAGGAAATCAAATTTTCTTTTCCAGAAATTAAATTTAATAAATCTATATCTTATTTAACATATATTCGAGTTTAAGTTATATCTTGTTATATTTTCCATAAATAATTTTTCTTAGGTCATGAAATTGTCAATGGGATATTTAAACATTCTACGCGAAGTTATCTAAAAACCTTTTTACGATACTTACGATATATCCATATGAACTTATGCAAATTCATAAAGTCTCCAAAGGAACATGTCTCAGATTGTAGCACTCATTCAGTACAAAAATAAAAATTCATCGTGTTAGTTCTCAGTCGTGTATTCTTTCCTCTTTATCTTCGCACAATATGTTTCTCACGCTATGTTCGATCCAAGCTTCCTCGAGGCTTTATAAACATTCAAAAAAGATTTTAACGTGACATCTTGGAACATCTTGTAAAATATTTCTTTCAGATCGTGCAGATGTCGATAAGATATTTAAACGCCTTACGAAGTACACTTTAATACTTCAAGCTTGCCATGGAATTTATTAAATACGCTATGCAATGTGTGTTAATTCATAAAAAACGGTATAAATATCTTTTTTCTAAACCAGCATATTTTTATTTTTCTGTAACATTGTTTGGCTCGCTTCGTAGTGGACGATTTGAAAATCGTTATCGGGCTTTCTGTCGCCGTTCCGCGGAGAATTTTAATAATTGAAACGCAACTCCGGGTAAAACTCGTTCCCCTTTATCTACGATCACAGTAATAACCGTTTATGATCCGTGCAAACTTTGTACATAGCAGAAACACGTTTGTTTGAAACTACTTTAATTTTCCATAAACACAAACAATTTTACAGAAACATTTCAATGCGAAATTCATAACGTTATTTAAAAATAAAGGCCGTTTCTTTAACCATTGAGCTATGAATGGCAACACCAAATTAACAAACGAGAACCTCTCATCAGTCATGTATATGTATATAACACATACTTGTCCTCGAGTAGCTTTTCCTCTCGAATCAATGTTCTTCCATCGCTGCATTTCAATCAAAGCGGTTCCTGGAAAGTTCTCTCGGATAATTTCAACCTGCCCTTTACATATTTCTCCTCTCTGCGATCGTTTCAAAAACAGCGATTCGAAGTTGAATTCGCGAGTAGCTATCAATTCACGTATACGGCTATACACAAGCGCAATATATCGAATCTACTTGACTACACTTACGTAGTAGTCAGTCTCGTGGAAGCGTCCAACCATGGAAAATATATCTGCTCTAACGAAGGCGGAAGAGGATATGAAATACGCAACGAGATTCGTGAAACCAATTTTAGGCGTAGTTGGCGCGTGGCCTGTTTCATCTTCCTCCTCTTCCTTCTCGAAAATTTTAACAAGAATAGAACATATCCTGACGTATTTCTTGTTCCTCTTGCTAATGGTGCCGACCCTTATGCACGTGTTTCTGAAAGAGACAAATAATAAAATTAGACTGAAGCTCATGGGACCGATTATCAACTGTAGCATGCAATTTTGCGCATATACGATCCTTCTGTGTCGTGCGAATGAGATCCAAAATGGTTTGAACGTGATAAAGCAGGATTGGATAACAGCCACGGAAGAGAACCGATTGATTTTCCGCTCGAAAGCGAAGATCGCGAGAAGAGTGGTGTTAACCGTTGCGATTACCATGTACGGAGGTGGTTTGTGCTATAGGACTGTTCTTCCTCTTCTTAAAGGAACTATCGTCACTCCTGGCAATGTTACTATAAGACCATTACCCTGTCCGAGTTATTTCGTAATTCTCGACGAACAAAAGTCTCCAAATTACGAAATATTGTTTGTACTGCAAGTTATGGCTGGATTTGTTATTTACGCAGTTATTAGTGGCTCCTGCGGTCTTTCTGCTCTTTTTGTTCTGCATGCGTGTAGCATGCTGAGCATCTTGGTGGACAAGATGAAGGCTCTGGTGGATACGAGGGACATGTCTGACACGATGGTCCAACGGAGGATCATGGATATCGTTGAACATCAGACGAAGATAAAAGGGTAAGTGGAATATTCGTGTGAATAGAAATGATCCAAGTGGAATATGATTTATCGCGATTTGGAAATGAATTGGACAAGAAATGTACTTATTAATACTTATGCGTTATACGCCCTTTATTCGTCACTTGGTTGCAGATTTTTAAAGAACATTGAAACGATTACACAGTACGTTTGTTTGTCCGAAATGATTTGCGGCACCAGTCTGGTTTGTCTTGTAGGATATTATATCGTCATGGTAGGAGTTAGACTAATAATATGTAGACCACGAATATTTATGTAAATTCAAATTTTTCCGAATGCACGTAAAAACATGGAATCTAAGTAATTTCTTGTGATTTATTGTTAATTTGAATATTTGGCACATTTTTGTGTATTACGTATATTTATTTTATATTTAAACTTAATTTCTCAAAAATTCGTGAACATTTATAGTCTAATAATGGCATCAAAAATCTGTTCCTTTAAGGATGAATATATTTTAGGAATGGGAGAATAATAATGCCACGGCGGTTTTGATTTATAGCACGATACAAATATCGTGTACCTTTTCTGTCTTTATTCTCTGTTATATCGGCCAACTTCTCGTAGACGAAGTACGACATTTATTCTTTCTTTGCGTCATTTTCGATTTTCTAAATCTTATCGTATTTGTCTCGTTAACAGAACCGCATTGTTGGACAGGCATCATACATGATCAATTGGTATTATCTTTCAAGGAAACATATGCGTTCTTTAATACTAATTATCGCTATGTCTAATTACCCGATGAAATTGATGGCTGGTAAGATGGTCGAAATGTCTCTAGCTACTTTCACCGACGTAAGTACAGAGAAGTGAAACTTTCTCTTTAAGAAACGATGTTTATCACATCATATTAAATATATTATATTCTAATTTAATTTACATCGTATTATATCTTTCATCGTTTTTTAGGTCATGAAAATGTCAATGGGATATTTAAACATTCTACGGAACGTCATCTAGAGATCTTATTAAGATACTCATGATACATCGGCAAGAAATACTGTACATATATTCCCAAAAATTACGAATGAACGTATCTTCGACAGTAACGCTGTTCTAGTTTTGGAATAAAAATTAATCAGAGGTTCAATCACGTATTCTTGTCTCTTCATCATCGCACGATAGATACATATTCGATCGAAATTTTTCTCGAGATTTCATAGACATCCAACAAATTATTTACCGTAGCAGTGAAAAGAACAAATATTCTTTAACTGTATCCGTGAGTGAAATATCCATGAACTATGTTTCCAAGATCGAAACAACGTTTAGTTCACAACCTCCTACAGCGCACTGTAAAATACGGTAATTATATGTTTGTCCCTCGTCGTACGATTTCCTGTAACGTTTTCGCAAAAATATCCATTTCGAAACTTGTCATTATCGACAAGTGCGCAGCTTAAAACTTATCGGGAGCAATACAGAAAAAGCCCTTCTCGCTGGTTGTTCCCGGCTTAGCAGCGCAAATCGTGCGATCAAGCAAAACTTTTCGATTCGACCAGTTGTCAGTGGGAGACAACACATCAGCCCCCGATGTCCGACAATGAACGCGGTAAAGCTCATTGTCGTGGAGAAATCTCGCAATCCAAATTGCAAAGAGGATCTGAATTTCCATATACGATACAACGTGTGGACATTTAGAACGATTGGAACTTGGCCAAAATCTCTGAACCTGTAAAATTATGTTGGGAAACTCCAATCTCATTTCAATGCTTTCGCTCGCTCGAGCGAAAATCGTGGAAGAGGGTGGCGACGTAAGCTACGGAAAACTGGTTTATCCTTTTCCTAAGATCCTTCTGGACGCTTGGCACAGTCCCAATAATGAAATTTTCTATACGATAGAGTTATCGTCTGGCTTTGTTACTCGTAATATCACGGTTGTCGCTTGATGGCCGTCAATTACGGGTTTTGCTGTCTTAGCTGAAGAAATTTATTAATTTTAGACAAATTTAGATAATTAAGCTTATATACGTGTTTTAAAGACTTTTTAAAAGAACCAGTTCATTTATCGTAACTTTTTAGTTTTATAACTCTCACAGAGAATCTCTTGCCTGAAGTATCACTGGTAGAAATTGTGTGGTACACTTTAAACATATGTTTCCTTGGGTATTATTCGATAATGGTAGGATTCGATAATCAATAAAATTTTCAATGATAAATAGAATAATATAAATGATAAATGAATGGAAACAAAACATGTATGTAGTATCGTGGACGAAAGGCCTAAGAGATATCGGGCGAACCATAAACAATGTCGCGAGAGCCGAGGCACCGTCGGGCCCATCAAAGTGTCGTCGGTCTTTTCAAGTGCATAGTTCGTAGAAAAGACCTAGGTGACCCTGGCCACGAGCGTCTGCAGAACACGTGTGCGGTGGGCCTGGTAAAAGACAATGGAATGCGACAACGGCCAGAGCGAGTCGAGAAGCAGCGTGAGAGTCGAGAAGCAGCGTGAGAGTCGAGAAGCAGCGTGCGAGTCGAGAAGCAGCGTGCGAGCGGAGAAGCAGAGCTTGCGAGTGGCGTTACCGAGAGAATGTTGATTGCGTTTTGCGAGAGTCGAGTCGTATTCTAACCATCTAGTTGTGCTGCTTTCTGTACGTTTGGCGAGAATAGCTCAGGTTGAAGAACAATCGCCTTTTCTATCTTCCATTCCTTTGTAAACACACATTATATCACGATATTACATGTATCTCCTTTAAAGTCCATTATTATACACTTGTAAATGTATCACTCTCGTTGGATCATTTTTATTTTTATCTTGCAAGATATTTTACGCAAAATCACATAAAACATATTTTTACAGACAGTGAAGGTCGGTCAAAAGTCTTACTTGATCGATTGACATCGGATGCCCTCGAAGAAGAGTCTTGCCATACGTTTGATGATTTCGATGTCCTATTCAACCACAGGATCACAGCTGGCAATGTTATCGACTTTTCCATTAGCAGTTTCGGTGACGTAAGTGTCTCAGAAATATCTAACTGTAAATATCAGTTTCTCTTGTAAATTTTCACTGAATACAGATCACTAAGAACATAGATAAATAAGATTAAATTCGATAAATTTTTACACCCTGTAAATAGTGTCGCGTAACTGTCAAAATCATCAAGACGGAGATAGTGCATGTTTCTTACCAAAAACATTTTTGAGTCTGTTTTATAAATTGTATTTTTGATAAAAACTAGTTTTACCTGTACTCAAACATATATCTTTCTCCTTCTAACTCTACGTAATTTACATGACGCACTATATTTTACCCAAGCAACTCTTATAAACGCTCGAAAATCATTTATCGTGGCATTGAAAAGAAGAAATATCCTTCAACCCTATCCAGAGTTGAAATGTACATGTGCTCGTCTCAAAGATCGAAATATCATACACTTTGTTCGCATCCCTCCACAGTACACACGAGAATACGGTAATTATGCGTTCGTCCCCTCATTCTTCGATTATGTGCTTCGCCTTTGGGAAAAACCATTTCGAAACTTGTCATTGCATATTAATTGCATCGGTTACAATCAAAAATACATCGAGGGTTACGGAGAAAACTCTTTGCTCGGAGGAAATTGTATCGATATCGAGTCGATAAAGAGAAGAGCGAGTTTCCTATGCCTATGCGGCTGTAACAGCGCAAGCGCGCGATTCGAGAAAACCTTTCGTACGACTCGACCAGTCGTCGACGAAACTAGCATCAGTGACTCTCTGATACTCGACATTCTATTATGAAGACGGGAAACATCGTGCAGACATCCAACAACGCGAGTTACAAAAGCGATCTAAGGTTCAACGTTCGACTGAACGTGCTGACTTTGAGAACGATTGGAACCTGGCCAAGATTTCTCGATCATTCTTGGCGGGAAACGATCGAACACGTATTTCTAAATCTTCTCTGTTACGGTCTGCTTGGTTTCATCCTGATCCCTGGATTCATGTGCTTTGCCCTCGAGATCGCGGATTTTTACGACCAGATGAAACTCGGTAGCGCGCTCAGTTTCTTTCTAATGGCAGTGATGAAGTATTGCGTGTTCATTATGCGCGAGGATGACATACGTAGATGCGTGAAACTGATCGAAGATGACTGGAGGAACGTGAAACACAACGAGGATCGTAAAATTATGTTGGATAACGCGAGTTTCAGTCAACGACTTATCATAATCTGTAGCGCTTTCATGTACGGCGGCGTGGTTTTCTATTACATCGCATTACCACTCACTCGAGCGAAGATTGTAGAAGAGGGTGGCAACTTGACGTACATGAGACTCGTTTACCCTTTTCCTAGAGTAATCGCGGACGCCCGGCGTAGTCCCATCAATGAAATTTTCTACACGATACAATTATTGTCTGGCTTTGTTGCTCATGATATCACGGTTGCCGCTTGCGGTTTGGCTGCTCTTCTTGCGATGCACGCGTGCGGACAGTTACAGGTTTTGATGTCTTGGCTGGAGAAATTGGTAGACGGAAGAGAAAACGACGATGAGAGTTTGGATCAGAGACTGGCCAATATCGTGGAACAACATGTTCGGATAATCAAGTAATGCAAACATTTGATCTTGTTCGATAGTAAACGATGAAAATTGACGTATAAATATATACGCGATGTGGCTCGTGAAAGTATTTGGATACTCGCCGTGGAAGATCTTTATTTAAATGTTATGTATATTATATGAAACATTTTGAAATTCTACTAGTATTGTAATGGTAGTGACAGTCATGTAACTGTCGTGATTGCATCGGTAAAATTTGAAATCAATCTAAAAATGCATATGTGTGTAGAAGTTACAAGTCAGTTATTGCAAATATATATTTAGTAGAAGGTCAATATGGTGCGTGAACATCTCAAACATGCAAGGAGTGTAGAAAATGGCCCCACTGAATATCGAGGCTCATTAATATAATGGGCAATTGATTGTTTAAATATTTTCATGATTTTTACGAAATACGTACCTACACTGAATATCTCGTAGCTTTTATGTAAATTTTCAGATTTGTTTCAGACTTTCTCAACGTAATCGCAATAGCCGTCTCGCGTTACAGTATTGATAAAATTTCAAAATGTTTCGTATAACACAATATAATATGTTCATAAATGGTTTCTACAAGATTTCGAGCACATTTTAATGGATGTTAAAAAAATGATATATTTATTGCAACGTTTCAGCTTCATAGCTCTGACCGAGGATCTTCTGCGTGAAATATCATTGGTAGAAGTCGTGGGTTGCACTATAAACATATGCTTCCTTGGGTATTATTCGATGACGGTATAATTTCACGAAGGAATTTGCAATTGCGAACCAAAGTTTTAATTCGCAATTTCTGTTTTAGGAATGGGACCCTAATCATCCTGTTAGAGGTTTTACGTACATAATATTGCTGACATCCGTCACGTTTAACATTTTCATATTCTGTTACATCGGTGAGGTCTTAGCAGAGCAGGTAATTATTATTTTCAAATTTCAATGATCAACGATCGATTTAGTAAAAAATTTAAACGACAACAATATGAGATATACGCGTGAAATATTTCAATAGACGGTAAAAGTTGGCGAAAAATCTTACATGATCGATTGGCATCGAATGCCTTGGAAGAAAAGTCTCGTCGTTCCTTTGATGATTTCGATGTCTCGTTCCACTACCAAAATCACTGCTGGCAATATTATCGAGCTTTCTATCAGTAGTTTCGGTAACGTAAGTGTCTCACATGTATCCATTGTGAAAAAAATTGTCCACGCTGTAAAAATCATTTTCTATCGTGAAATTTTCACGGAAAATTATAGGTCATCAAGACTTCGTTCGCGTACTTGAACATGCTACGAACACTCACTACCTAGGGGTTCCTTTTTCAGTCAATGGTAAACCGATATTGCGACTCTCACATTGAAATTATAGATACACACATATATCACATGAATATCTGCTTTTTATAAGAAAAACGTGTTCTATCATGAATTAGACAAGAAAGAAGAATTTTCATTTATCCGACCTTTGACTTCCCATGTTGACATTTTCGTAGTATAAAAGAATTTATCATACGGCAGTTATTGCCCTATTATTTGTGTAATGTATAAGCTGACAAATTAACACGATGAAAGAATAAAATTATTCACTAATTATTTTTTACTACGATTGAACGTTTGAAAAAACGTTGCATATTTAGAAATGACAATATACTATTTAATTAACCTAACGCTTATTGTTACTACTTTGTTATCGCTATTTCATGCTACTTTATAACAGTAAAGAAAATTTATAGAATTATTCAATCGCACATGGATCGAATGTTACCGATTAAAAGGAACGAGAAATTTATGGAAATGCTGTGTAATTGTCAATACTTTCAGTAACGTAAGTACCAAATAATTACTATGTTCAATATTTAAATTATGAATGAAATTGGAGGAAGAAATAATATATGCATAATTGTATTACTTACGTGTTCGTACATTACAGCCAGTAAAATTTGCTTCACGCTATATAATATTATGAATCGTTATGATCTTTCACATATTAACAAATGTTCTTATCTTTGGTATTAGAGTAAATAATAAATATTGCGAATAAAAGAATGTATTGTACAGAAGAGAAATGACAACTAGTCACCATCATAAATTGATTCTCTAAAACCGCACAGCAACGTTATTAATGTTTCGCTGACGTGTCGAAGGAATCAATTGATCGATGTTCCACTGTCATTCTCTCTACACTTATAATACATAAAACTGAACTTCGTGAAAGGGTAAAACTAAATGCAGCAGACCACTTTCGTCCTCCCTTCTGATCGGAAATCAGAAAATCGAGCGCAAGCGCGCCGCTTATTTTTCCCCTTTAAGCAGTGATCAGACAATTTAGTCTTAAACGAGCGTTCAAGCATCAAGCATGCAAACGTCAGGCATAAACAATAAAAAATTCCGTATAACGGACAGCGAGTACGAAAAAAACGTGAATTTAAGTATTCAATGGAATCTTTGGTTATTAAAATCCATAGGCCTTTGGCCATATTCAAATTCCATTTCAAGAATCCGACGATACTTCTACTGGTTCATAAATATCACTTGTTACAGTCTGATCAGTTTTCTCTTTATTCCCTGCGTCTTATACGTTTTCCTCGAGATAGAAGATACTTACGGTAAACTGAAACAATTCGGCCCTCTGATTTTCTGCGCGATGGCGTTCGCAAAATACTATTCTTTGATCGTACACAAAGCTGACATTCGTGAATGCTTGGAACGAATCAAATGGGATTGGAAGAACATGACAAACAGAGAAGATCGCGAAATCATGACAGTGAACGCGAGTTTCGGACGAAAATTGGTGGTCGTCTGCACCTTATTCATGTACAGCGGTTTCGTATTTTATTATATCGCTATACCTATTAGCGTGGGCAGAGTAGCAGCAGAAAATGAAAGTCTTACCTTCATTCCACTGGTATTCCCATTTTCAAGGTTTATGGTTGACACGCGTTATAGTCCTACGAATGAGATCGTTTTTTCGATTCAATTGGTGGCTGGTTGTTTGATGCATGGCATTACATCAGCGGCTTGCAGTTTAGCGGCTGCTTTCGCGGTTCACGCTTGCGGTCAGATGCAGGTGTTGATGAATTGGTTGAAGCATCTCGTAGACGGTCGATCGGATATGAGTGAACGTGTAGATGGTAGAATCGCTGACATCGTGTGCCAACATGTCCGAATCCTAAAGTGTGTAAATGTTTATTATTTATTTATGCGTGTAACGTTTATTTATTCGTAATCGATCATTAAGGGAAGAATTTTAATCTTTTGCACTCTATCGACGTTGCTTTAATGACGTTGATAAGGCGAAAATTGTTATTTGATTTTCACTGAAAATAGAAAAAAGAACATTATCTGTACTATATTTATTCAGAATCTTTTCATCGTTATATTCGTAATCTTTTTCTTTTCGTAATATAATGTTCAATTTCAAAAGATTTCACTGTGAAAGTAAAAGTGAAAAAAGTGTTGGAATTGCTGGCCGATTGTATATAGAACTTTTCGGAGTGCAGAGGCTTCAAGGAAAAATTGTTAATAAATTTATAATCGTTTGTAGACTTTTTCTACAAAACTTGTGATATTGTTTCACATTGCACGACTCTAATATCTGTCACTGTGTATCAGAAAATATCGTCGATTGTTTCAGATTTTTGACGCTCATAGAAAATACGATACAGCAAATTTCATTCACCGAGTTTTTAGGATGTACACTAGATATATGTCTCGTTGGATATTACGTAATCATGGTATGATAATTGATAAACTTGATCTAAGGTTCAGATCCTATTAATCTCGATGATCCTAGATCCTAAAATATACAAATTCTCCTTTCGTATTATAGGAACTGAAATCGAATGACGTCACGAGCGCCCTAACTTATATGATTTTACTTATATCGATTACATTCAATATTTTCATATTTTGTTATATAGGCGAGATCGTGACTGAGGAGGTAAGTTTTCACTTTTAAATAAATTTCTATTAATCGAGTAATAATCTAAAACTCTATCTTTTCGAATGAAAAATATTTTAACGACAAAATATGATACGATAGTGTAGGAAAATTGGCGAAACGTCGTACATGATTGAGTGGTATCGATTGCAAGGGAACAAGAAGCTTTGTTGCGTTTTGATTATTGCTATGTCGAATTGTACGATAAAATTGACGGCTGGGAACATCGTAAATCTAACTATCAACACGTTCGCTGATGTATGTATGAAATTGTTATTTGAATCTTTTTTCTTGCGTAAGAATTAATTAAAAAATTTTTTTTAACAAATAGGTTGTTAAAACGGCAGTCACTTTTTTAAACGTACTACGAAAAACGACTTAAATGGTTATTTCATAATGTGAACATATTTTTTATGATCGTTGATGTATATCCATAAAAAAAAAAAAATCTTTACTGTTATATCACACGATTTTCAGTGTGTTTTACATGTTCGATGTTACTTGTGGTTGTTGTTACTCGTCTTCAATATTATACATTTTTTGTACTATTTAGGATGAATGAAAATGCATGTTTTATAAAGGTATTGAAGAATAAAAAAGATGTGAGAGACGAAAGAATCGTCATGTTACTAGAATATTGTTTGTATTATATCGTCTGATGTTCTTTCAGTTTCTGACTTTGTTAGAACGTATCTTTTTGTACATATTGATCGTCTGACAGATATTCTAAAAAATTATTGTGTTTATGATCTCACCACTTAAAAATATATTATGATACATATAAGGTATCGTACGATTGTCTACACAGCTATAAAAATACTGTCCAGGTTTAAACACTGATGAATAGAACGTTAGAAAGGACAAAAATTAGATATCGATGAATCGAAAAAGGTCCATTCTGGCATTTGAGACACAATGCCCATTGTGTTCCTCGACTTCAAATTTCAATTTTTGTATTCCCACTTCAATAATTATATTGTTGGATACAGAAATAGATAGTAGCTTTGAAAAAAAAGCAACACAGCAGTGCATAAAAAATGAGATCGAAGAAGACGAAGAACTCAGGTTGCAATAAACAGTGGCAATTCTGTTCCATCAACGTTAAAAAAAATCAATCTATCGATGTGTCATCGCGATTCTGCTGCAGTCCACACTCATAATGCATAACAAGAGAAGTCCCAAACAGGGAACTTTTATCAACTTTTATTCCACCCTTCCGAGAGAAATTGGTAAAGGCGGCGCAAGCGCGTCGATATTTTCCTTGGAACAGTCAGCAACTTATAAACAGTCAGTATTAAGAGAGCTTTCAAGTTCTAGCAAAGCAGAGTAATCATGTCGTCTATCAAAGTCGACCAAGATTACAAGAAGGGCGTAAATTTAAGTATTCGAAGCAGTCGTTGGATATTAAAACTGATCGGCGTGTGGCCAAATTCTCGGGACGCTTCGGCGGTAAAAAAGTATTTTGGCGTGCTATTAAACGCCATTTATTACGCTTTGATCATGTTTCTCTTGTTACCTGGAAGCTTGTACGTAATTCTCGAAGTGGAAGACGTTTATAACAGAATTAAACTATTCGGCCCATTGAGCTTCTGCGTGATGGCGCTTTTAAAGTATTATCTTCTGATACTTCACGAAGAAGACATTCGCGAGTGCGTTGAACGTATCGAATGGGATTGGAAAAATATCACGTACCCTAAAGACAGAGAGCTCATGATGACGAATGCTAACTTTGGAAGAAAACTAGTCATCGCGTGCACCTTTTTCATGTACAGTGGTTTCATCTTTTTTTACATTGCTGTACCGATGAGCGTTGAAAGAATACCAATAGAGGGAACCAATGCAACATTCATCCCCATGGTGTTCCCCTTCTCGAGATTTATCATCGACACTCGTTACAGTCCTACGAATGAGATAGTGTTTTCTATTCAATTTTTGGCTGGCGCCCTGATGCACGGTATAACTTCAGCCGCTTGCAGTTTGGCTGCAATATTTGCTGTACACGCCTGCGGCCAAATGCAGGTGTTGATGACTTGGCTAAACCATTTGATAGATGGTAGATTAGACATGCATGATTGCGTCGATCAGCGAATCGCCAAGATCGTGAGTCAACACGTTCGAATATTGAAGTGTGTAAGATGTATTTGTCGTACGGTAAAATCGCATAGCATTATTATCTTGTAATTCCTAGAGTTATACTGCTACTTTTTAATTATACTATACTACTGGTTCTAGGTTTAATTTTTGAAGTATGAATATTGAATTTTTATATTTGAATATGCAATTTTAAAATCCACGAATAAAGATTGTTTGATTTCTAAAGCTTGTTACATTTAAGACTTTAGGTTGGAAATCAGCTTTGGAATTGTGCTAATGTTTCGATGTTTCAGATTTTTATCCCTTATAGAGAGAGCGCTTCAACAAGTATCGTACGTGGAATTTTTAGGATGTACGTTAGATATATGTCTTCTTGGATATTATATCATCATGGTACAAAATTTGTAGATATCTAAAACTTACGGTTTACCAATTACCGAATGTTATAAACATACGTATATATCTTCTTGATATTGCAGGAATGGAATTCGAATCATCTAACAGACGTCATGACTTACAGTGTGTTACTTGTATCCCTTACATTTAATATTTTTATATTTTG